GCTTGCTAGGCCATTTCAGAGAACAAGTAAAAATCAACCACATTGCTGTGGGGGGAGAGTCACATATTGACCAGACCAGATAAGGACAAGGTGGTGAGATTTAAAATTTTGGTTCCAGAACATTACCTGGGTCTCAGGATTACTAGTCCAGTGGCAATACCAATATACTATCACCTCTTTAAGGAATGTATGGTTGATAGTTGCTTTAATACAAATTATACAATTTAATTTTTTTGTAAGAAAACATTGGAAAATATGTACAAGTTTTGTTTCTTATAAAGTTTTTTGGTAAATGTAAAATGAAAGGCCATGTCTTTCAAAAACCAACTACTGTGTATTGTTGTGTTTAAAATTTCCAACCATACAGTGAGTAAAATTGGTGTTTGTAGTGAAATATGTCTCACTTAACGCCGTAAAATAAAGAAAATCAGACCGGAAGTAACTGGGTTGCAGATTCATTGTCGTTCACTTTGTGCTTCTGTCCAAAACCCCTTTAGTGAAAACAGAATGTACTAGTTTTAACGTATTTAGCAAGCATGTTGGGAGTCTCAGAACCTGCAAGACAGATGCATGGTGATTTTGAAATGAAGTATATTTAATCAAGTAACAAATTTGGGGGTGTTTCAGAAGATCTTAAACCATAATTCTGGATTTATTTACCAGTTATTTATTAATTGTCTGATTTTCTGAGTACAGCTTTTTGATAATCTAAGAATCAGTGTTTACTGGTGAGTTGGGAAAAGGAGAGAGTCAAATAATCAGGGCAGGTAGGAAAGTGCTGAGAATGAGGTAGGACTGATAAGTTAAATTGCATTTATTTCAGTGCAAGCAGCCTTACAGATAAGGCAGTTGAATTCAGGGCATGATTGAGAACATGGGACTGGGATATTGTAGCAATTACAGAGATGTATCTCAGGGATGGACAGGACTGGCAGCTTAATGTTCCAGGGTATCGATGCTGTAGGAAGGATAGAAGGGGGCAAGAGAGGAGGGGAGCAACGTTTTTGAATAGGGACAACATTACATCTGTACTTACACAGGATATTCCTGGGAATATGTCTAGTGAAGTTATTTGGATAGAACTGAGAAATAAGAAAGGGATGATCACCCTTAACTGGGGTTGTACTATAGATCCTCCCAACAGTCAGCAGGAAATTGAGAAACAAATTTGTAAGGAGATCTCAGTTCTCTGTAAGAATAATCAGGTGATTATGGCAGGAGATTTTAACTTTCCAAACATAGACTAGGACTGCCATAGTGTTAAGGGCTTGTATGGAGAGGAATTTGTTAAGTGAGAAAATTTTCTGATCCAGTATGTGGATTTACCTACTAGAGAAGGTGCAAAGCTTGACCTACTCTTGGGAAATAAGGTAGGGCAGGTGACTGAGGTGTCAGTGGGGCCAGCGACCATAATTCTATTAGTTTTAAAATAGTGATGGAAAAGGATAGACCTGATCTAAAAGCTAAAAGTTCTAAATTGGAGGGAGGCTAATTTTGGCAGTATTAAAGTTGATCAAAAGTTGATTGGGGGCAGATGTTCACAGGTAAAGTGATGGCTGGAAAATGAGATAACGAGAGTCCAGAGACCGTATGTTTCTATTAGGGTGAAAGGCAAGGCTGGATGATGAGAGAAGTTGAGGTTTTCGTCAAGTATAAGAAGGAAGAATATGTCAGATATAGACAGCAGGGATGAAGTGAATCCCCAGAAGAATATAAAGGCAGTAGGAGTATACTTAAGAGGGAAATCAGGAGGGCAAGACAAGGACATGAGATAGCTTTGGCAAATAGGGGTTAAGGAGAATCCAAACGGAATCTACAAAGAAATTAAGGACCAAAGATTAACAAGGGAGAGAATAGGGCCCTTAAAAATCAGCGAGGCTGTCAATGTGTAGAACCGCAGGAGATGGGGGAGATACTAAATGAGTATTTTTCATCAGTGTTTATTGTGGAGAAGGATATGGAAGATAGAGAACGCAGGGAAATAAATAGCAACATCATAAAAGATGTCCATATTACAGAGGAGGAGGTGCTGGGCGTCTTAAAATACATAAAGGTGGATAAATCCCCGGTACCTGATCAGATCTACCCTAGAACTCTGTGGGAAGTTAGGGAAGTGATTGCTGGGCACCTTGCTGAGATATTTGCATCATCGATAGCCACAGGTGAGGTGCCAGAAGACTGGAGGTTGGCTGACATGGTGCCACTATTTAAGAAAGGTGGTAAGGAAAAGCCAGGGAACTATAGACCAGTGAGCTGACGTCAGTGGTGGGCAAATTGTTGGAAGGGATCCTGAGGGACACAAACTACATGTATTTGGAAAGGCAAGGAACTGATCAGGGACAGTCAACATGGCTTTGTGCATGGGAAATTGTGTCTCACTAACTTGATTGAGGTTTTTGAAGAAGTAACAAAAAGGATTGAAGCAGGCAGAGCAGTGGACGCGATCTATGTGGACTTCAGTAAGGCATTTAACAAAGTTCCACATGGTAGACTGGTTAGCAAGGTTAGATCATATTTGACACAGGGACCACTAGGCATTTGGAATCAGAACTGGCTCGAAGGTAGGAGACAGAGGGTGATGATGGTTGCTTTTGAGACTAGAGGCATGTGACCAATGGTGTACCACAAGGATCGATGCTGGGTCCACTGTTTTTTGTCATTTATATAAAAGATTTGGATGTGGTTAGTAAGGTATGGTTAGTAAGTTTGCAGATGACACCCAAATAGGTGGTGTAGTGGACTGGCAAGATGGTTACCTCAGAGTTCAACGGGACCTTGACGAGATGGGCCAATGGGTGGAGGAGTGGCAGATGGAGTTTAATTTAGATAAATGTGAGGTGCTGCGTTTTGGGAAGGCAAATCAGGGCAGGATTTGTACACTGAATGGTAAGGTCCTGGGGAGTGTTTCTGAACAAAGAGACCTTGGAGTGCAGTTTCAGAGTTCCTTGAAAGTGGAGTCACAAGTAGACAGGATAGTGAAGAAGGCGTTTGGTATGCTTGCCTTCATTGATCAGTGTGTTACATATAGGAATTGGGAGGTCATGTTGCAGCTGTACAGGACATTGGTTAGGCATTTTAGAATACTGCATTCAATTTTTGTCTCCCTGCTATAAGAAAGATGTTAGGAAACTTGCAAGAGTTCTGAAAGGATTTACAAGGATGTTGCCAGGGCCGGAGGATTTGAGCTAAAGGGAGAGGCTGATGAGGCTGGGGCTATTTCCCCTGGAGCTTTGGAGGCTGAGGAGTGGCCTTATAGAGATTTATAAAGTCACGAGGGGCATGGATAGGGTGAATAGCCAAGGCCATTTCCCCGGGTTGGGGAGTACAAAACTAGAAGGCATAGGTTTAAGGTGAGCGGGGAGGGATTTAAAAGGGATCTACTGGGCAGCAATTTCATTCAGACGGTGGTGCATACATGGTATAAGCTGCCAGAGGAAGTGGTGGAGGCTGGTACAATTACACCATTTAAAAGACATCTGGATGGGTATATGAATAAGAAGGGTTCAGAGGGATATAGGCCAAATGCTAGCAAATGGGACTAGATTAATTTTGGATATCTGGTTGGCATGGACAGGTTGGACTCAAGCGCTGTTTCCATGCTGTACGGTTCTATGACTCTATGAATGTCCACTATGAGTTTGCCATGATTTAGTATTGCAAACTACAAATTTCTGTTTACCTTTCCTGTCTTCAACAAAGACCACCCTTCTTTCATATGGGAAGAGGAGAAAGGTACCCATTACCAGAAATTGAACTTGCTGATCATATAAACACTATGGCTACTAGAGCAGATCAGAGGTTAGGAATTTAGTTGTGCATAACTACCTTCTGTCTCCCCATTATCTGTCCATTATCTGTAAAGCATAACTAAGGAGTATGGCTGACTCTTCACTTGCCTGGATGAATGGAGTTCCAACAGCATACAAGAAGCATGACATCATCCAAATCAAAGTAGCCCTCTTGATTGGCACTCCATTCACCATTCAACTTTCACTTCCTCTGCCATCTGTATGGAGTGACAAAGATGTATAACATCCACAAGTTTCACAAACAACTAACCAAGGCTCCTTCAACAGCACCAGCCAAACCATTGACCTGTATCACCTGAAAGCCAAGGTCAGTATCCATGGGAAGACCACATTTCCCTTCAAACCACATACCATTCTGACCTGGAGCTAAATCAGCATTGCTTACTTGTCTCTGGGTCAAGCAGTGAAGCACTTCAAAAAGCGGCTCATTGCCATCTTCTTGAGGGTAGTTATGATGGGCAATAAATGCTGGTTCTGGCAGCAGCAGCTATAGTCTATGACTAATTTTTCAAAAATGTTAAATTTTTATCATGATGACTTTGAATATAATTGTCACAAAGATGGGACTGAAGTCATTTTATTCTGTCCAAGAAATAAAGCAAGGTTTACTAAACTTATTTTTCGGAGAGTGGCCCTTTTAAATGAATTCTTATTTCGTGTTTCACGAGCTTTAAATGCCCTCCATCGGTCATGGCTATCCTTCATTGTCCTCCATAATGTTCTTGCCAGTGGCACAAATGCTACTTGTGCTAATGCATTGGAACACCTTCCCAACTGTATATTATTTGTACTTAATTGTGCTGTGTTCAGTAAGTTTTATTATCTTCTTATCCTATTATAGAAAAGATAGTATATAGTATTTGTGTTCGCTGAATACCTTTTAAAAGTCGTTGTTAGTCAGACGAATTAGCTTTGAATGATATCAGTATTCCGACATATACATAGAATCTCGAGTTTTATATTCATGCCTGAAACCTTCACAACCAACTAATAATTTTGTTACTTCATGTAGATAAATCTTCATGGTATTCGCTGTTGCAGTTTCTACTTACATTTTTGCTTTGCAAATGATTTTTCACTTTGATTTGATACCTTGTTTCTTATTCATTATTATAACTGATGTATGCTCTTTAGATTATAGTTGATGTAAAATTCTTGCATAATTAACAACCTTTTCTATTCATTTCATAGGTGCCAACTAACTGTTCTTTTAGTGTTAAGGATACACAGTCAGAGGTGAGTGTTTTGAAGTTAATTATGGTGCTGAAGCTAGGAGTGTATCAGGGGTATCTGCCTCCTCCATCCTTCTCTTCCTTCCCCGAGGGTCAGCTGCAGATCCATGAAGATAATGGCTGCACTGTTAGAATGGCTAGGAAGTGAAGAAATAGACCACCACAAACTTCAAGGCTCTTTATGGTTACTGAAATGCTTTCCCCTTTTTCAGTCAAACATTGCCTTGATGTCAAGGGCAGTCACTTTTATCTTGCCCATTGAGGTCAGATCTTTTGTCAAAATTGAGACTAAGGTTATAATGAAGTCAAGAGTTGAATACCCATGACAGAACCCAAAGTGAGTCTCAGTGATCAGGTTATTGCTGGCAATGTGCTGCTTTATAGCACTGCTGATTATGTTCATCATTAAATTGACAGAGAGAGTAGATTCATGGAATGGAAATTGGAGCATTTGGATTGTCCTTTATTTGTGTGCAAGACATACTGGTAAAATTTTCCACATTTTGTTGGATAGATGGCAGTATTGCAGCTGTAATAGAATAGTTTGGGTAGAGGTGTGTCCCATTCAGTCTTGAGTACCATTCCCAGTATGTTGTCAGGGCCCATAGCCTTTGCTTTAATTAAAGAGAATTAAATAGATCTGTAAAAGTCAGTTTGATTAATCTAATTGAATTCTTTTTTGGACGAGAAACAAAGAATATTGATGAGAGTCTCTGAATTTTAAAGCATTTGTGAAATACTGCATAAATGGTTGATTGCTAAAATTGAGGGTATTGGTATAGAAGAGTCACTGTCATTGCGGATAGAAAAATTGGCTTGAGGATAGATAACAGCTAAGCATGTTAAATGATTGTTTTTCAGAGTGGAGGATGGTAGACGCTGCAGTTCTCCTAGATTCACTGCTTGGATCACTGTTTTCTTGACACATATAAATGATTTGGATATTGAAATGATGAAATTTCAAAATTTGCCTATGATACCAAACTTGGAGAGCGGCAGACAGTGCAGATAGTACCAGTCGACTGTAACAAGACATAGATAAACTAGCAGAGTGAGAGGACACAGATGGCAAGGGATGGAATAGAGTTATAAAAATGGTAGTCTAAAAAGATAAACATAAAATGAAAGGAAATCCAATTAAAAATGAGTTAATGTTTGTAAAGTAATGCACACACAGTGAGTATAATTTTTTTAAAAGGTGTGCTGGAATAATTATGCATTGGGAGGATCTAGTCAGAGTGGTGATTATTGAGCCACAGCCACAGTAGAATGAGAACTAGAAATTCAACATTTCAGTATGTAACATCTTTAGGAAAGATAGATGGAGAAAATGGATCAGCTGTCCTTATTGTGTATAAAATAATTGCATAGAAAAAGGATGCAGCTATAACAAGGTAAAAATAAAATCCCATGAATAGAGATAAAATATAATAAAGGATCCATCACACATTAATAGGTGTAGCTTACAGACCACTTAATAGTGGATGGGAGCTGGAGGAAGAAGTATGCAGAGAAAATCGGGAATTGAGTAAAACCATAGAATGATAATCATGGAAAATTTCAACTATCCTGATATTAATTGGACGTAAGATGTAGTTAAAGGGGAGAGAAGAATAGAGTACCTACAATGTACATGTGACTCTTTTTAACCCTGTCTGCAGAAAGCTCAACAAGGGAATATGTGTTATTGGATCTGGTAATGAGAAATGAACCAGAACAGATATGAAAAATGAAAGTAGTGGAATATCTACAAAACGGTGACTACAATATAGTTTGCTTCAAGATTATGATAGAGAAAGACTAAGCATGATGGAAATTAAAAGGTTAGAGAAGAGGTAGATATAGCTGTTTTGGCTAAAAGGATCAAGTGATACGGGGGGCAGGGGGAGGGCAGGATTACGGTATTGAGCTTGATGATCAGACATGATCACATTGATTGGCAGAGCAGTCTCGAGTGGTCAAATAGCCTCCTGCTCCTGTCTTCTATGTTCCTATATTTCTAAAAACTGATTTTTACAGGCTCAGAATAGAACTTGGAAACAGAAAATAGGCAACTATGTGGCAAAGAATGGTATAAAACTGATGATAAACAGTAGCAAATGAATTTTAATATGGGCAAGTGTGAGCTCATGCAATTCAAACCTAAAAAGGATACAAAGGGGTAGTTTTAGACAATGAAAAGCTAGTAACTGTGCTGATCCAAAGAGACTTGGAAATTTAGTTGCATAGATCATTAAAATGTCATTAACAGCTGCAGAGAATCATCATAAAATCAAATGGAGTGCTTTTTTATATCTAGAAGAATTCAATACAAGACGATGGAATTTTACCAAAGGTCGCCTAAGTGTCAATTTCAGGGAGTTTCATGCAGGGTTTCTCTTTAGTGAATTATGTAATATAGTTCACTGGCGCTCACCTCATTATGTGTGTTCTATATCTTGGCAACACACACACTACTTGCGCTCGCCAGTGGAAGTATTTTACTTTGCAGGATCCTTCCAAAATTTCTGCCAGTGGCATCATATGTAAAACCCAGCTGTGCACCACGTCAATTGGTGCCAGCCACAACTAGCCCTCAACACTACATGTAGTGGGAGGGAAACTAGAAAGAACATCTCCTGAGGGCACGTAGGTAGCATGGGAGGCACTTCATTAGAAATATAAGCTTATGTTCATGAATTTATTGCTATGTTGCATCATCACCTTTCTGACTGATGTCATTGTATCTGCAGCTACAAGAATAAAGCTACACAAGCCACCGATCCTTAGCATCTTACCACATTAGAACCCTATCTAAGGGAGTGCAACTCTTTCTGTAATGTCCAACATAGCATAACATCTTGTGATTTCTCAATGTGGGAATATCACATATTTAAACCCTTTAAATAGCTGAAAACATTAACTATTATTGAACAACAGGATAAGCAAAGATAAAGCACAAAAAACTACATCTGGGAATAAACAGGTGCTACTTCCCTTTAAAGCAACAACAAATTTATAGTGAATGAATAATCATTTCACCCAATTCAGGGCTTTTGGAAATAGCTGTCAATTAAGTCCCATCTGGGACTTTGCACCCAACACCACACTGCTCTATCATAGACATGATGATGTTCCTGCTGCTCAATGTCCTTATCCTTCCCTGTGGAGGACTATTGCTCCTCTCCCAGCTGTTCAGTGACCATCTCATTCCCTCATTACCCGCTCCAGTTACACAAGATTTGTGTGGCACATTCTGTCTGCCCTATTTCATAAGGCTCCCGCTCAGATGGTTCCACCATTGGAACTCATCTTTAGATGGCCTATTGTTTGCTTCACAATGGCCCTGATGGAAGAATGACCTGACTTGTATCTATGCTCAGCCTCCATCAAAGAGGATGCGCAAGGGAGTCATCAGTCATAATTGCAGAGGGATTGCATCCCTTGAGAGAGAATTGCATCATTGAAAAGTATCCAGCTTGTGAAATGTGTCTTCTAAAGGGCGTACGCATTATGACAGATTCCACAGTGCTGATGCCAGACTTCTAAGATATGGTACTGATGATCACAGATGCCTTATGCATTGATAGAATGGAACCCTTTTCTATTGATGAAGTCAGCTATCTTATGATGTAGCAGTCTCAATGCAATGTGTAAAATCTGAAGTGCCGTGCATCTGGTGGAAGCCAGGTATGTTGGCAAAGCCTATTGCTCAGGCTGTTGTACTGACCATGCCACAGGGAAAAAATGAAGTGGTGTGATGTGTCATGAAATGCTTTGCTAATAGCCTTGACACATTTGAGGATTTGAGAGAAGCCACATAGGTCTCCAGTGGATCCTTGGAAGAAATATGGTTGCAAAAAAATTTAATGCAGCCGTCACCCTGATGGTCACCAGGATTGAGTTTGAGTGGCAGCTGTGGGCACTATAGTGCATTCATGAGGCTGAGACATTTGTGGATAACACATTTAAGGACATTACCCCGCAGCTTAAGAAAGTGCAGGCAGAGAGGGAATGGGTGACCACCAGATGAAGGAAATGGGAAGGTAGTGAGGAGATCCCCTGAGTACACACCGTTTTCTAGCTTTGGGAAAAGATGAGCATTCATTTAAAAATAATGTTCTGGCGGCCTGCCAGAGCCAAGGCCATGGCACTGTGGGTGGTTCAGCTGCTCAAGGTAGGAGGAAAAAGCATGGAAGGGCAGTAGTGATAGAGGATTTGTTAGTGAAGGAATTAGACATGATTCCAGAATGGTACACCTCCGGGGTGTCAGAGCCAAGAATGTCCTGCGCCAGTTCCATGACATTCTGAAGGGGGAGAGTAAACAGCTAGATATCATGGTCCTTGCTGGGACCAACAACATAGGAAGAAAGAGAAATGAGGTCCTGGACCAGACTTTAGGGAATTAGGTACAAATGGAAAAGCAGGATTTTAAAGACAGTGATTATCTGATTATTTCCAGTGCCATCAGTAGTGAATATAGGAATAGAAGGATAGAGCAGATAAACGTTTGGCTGGTGAGATGGTGCAGGAGGGAGATCTTTAGATTCCTGAGGGATTAGGACCTTTCCTTGGGGAGGTTGGAACAACATGGGACCACCATCCTCATGGGAAAGTTTGCTAATGCTTTTGGGGCTGATTTAAAATAATTGGCAGAGAAATGGATCCTGACAAGTAGTTCAGAGAGGAAAGAAGCTGGGATGGAATTAGAATTGAAAACATGAGCAATTACATCTGGAGGACAAAGGAAGCATAAGCTGGTTAATAAAGAAGTGAGTCTAGCAAGGCTGAATGGAATATATTTGATTGCAGGGACCCTGAGAAGAGGGCATGGATAGGCACATGGTAGTAAGATATTATAACTGTGAGTGAGGCTTGGCTGAAAAATGGGCAGCTCAGTATTTTTTGTTATAGAATATACAAATGAGATGAAGAGGGGAATAAAAGTGAAAAAGATCACAGTATTGATCAAGGAATCAATTACAGCAATGAAGAGGGAAACAGTAGGTCAGTACTGGGTCTGTT